AAGCTGAAACTCCAATACTTTGGCCACCTCATGCGAAGAGTTGACTCATTGGAAAAGACCCTGATGCTGGGAGGGATTGGGGGCAGGAGGAGAAGGGGACGAAAGAGGATGAGATGGTTGGATGGCACACCGACTCGATGGATATGAGTTTGAGTAAACTCCGGGAGTTGGTGATGGACAGGGAGGCCTGGCGTGCTGTGATTCATGGGGTCGCAGAGCGACTCAATGGATATGAGTTTGAGTAAACTCCGGGAGTTGGTGATGGACAGGGAGGCCTGGCGTGCTGTGATTCATGGGGTCGCAGAGTCGAACACAGCTGAGAAACTGAACTGAACTGAAGTGAATGAGGGAGGTTCATGCCAATCCTCCTACAGACACAGGAAAGTAGATGAACGTGGGGCTTGGGGAGGCTGGCATTCATAGGTCACATGGGGAAAGTAGAGTGCTGCAGAGATGAAACAGTAATTACACACTATGCAATAGGCACATCAGTCCCATAGTCTCATGTTTCTGACAGAACTGTAAGAGATACTAGTTATTACACAGGGCCATCATCCATTTTACTCCTTGAATGTAGAATTATTTAAATTTCTATACTTAAGACTTACCGAAAATGCCTCTTCTTTATTTAAACAGAAAGCAGTAGTGCTGGAACCTGGACACTCAACGTATTGTGGAAAATGTGTGGGATTGATGTCCACATGGATCCTAACATTGGAAAAAGACTGAATGCTCTGGGTAACACCCTTACAACCCTGACAGGAGAAGAAGACATAGATGACATTGCTGATCTAAATTCAGTGAATATAGCTGACTTGTCAGATGAGGATGAAGTTGATACTATGTCTCCCACTATCCATACTGTAAGTAAATTCACTGTTAGCCATTTTCAGGACTGGCTTTTACCCAGTGAAAGGGATATTATTAAATCATTGTTATTTATTATAGTTGCTAATTGTGAAGGAAGAAAGGGAGTGGTGGTTCTTTGTACCTACATTTATATAATTTTTTTATTTTTTTTAAAATCTGAAACCTCTTTTTACTACTGTATCATTAATTAGTTTTATTCTTGGAAATAAAATTTTATTTAAAAAGTTAACATTACTGTTTATTGTTTAGAGTTCAGATGGAAGTGCAGAAAGTGGAAATGGCCACAAGCTCACCTTTGGGCAGCGACTTGTAAATCACCTACTAGGCCTCAGGCCCCCACATCAGCGCTATTCTGTTCCTGCAGAGTATCTATGTGACCCAGAGGTGTGGGCCTCCCCTCAGTCTAGCCAGTCCCATTTGAAAGCATGCAGAGCTCACTCATGGGGAAACGTAGGTAGCAACTAGATTCCTTATGAAAATGAAGGGGTTTGAATCACTGGTGAATTCCAATCATGTTACTTAACATAGATGGCCTTGATTCCTGCATGCTTCTTTTGATTTAAGGTGCTATTTCTGTGATAAGATTTGCTTTGTGACCTGGGGGTGTTACTGACAGACATGCTTTTGATTTTTCAGGAAGCTATAGATTATCGAAGACAAGGAGCATCTGGTAGCCAGCCAGGAGAACTCAGAGGAAGAAAAATTATGAAGCGTATAGTAGATATCCGAGAATTGAATGAACAGGCCAAAGTAATAGATGATCTTAAGTATGTATAATGATTTTTAACTCAGTATAATATTCCCTAATAATAGAACCATGAGATTTTAAATGAGAAGGGAACTGGATTGGGGCTAGTACAACCCCCTTTAGTTAAATAAATGAGATCACCAAGGTCCAGAGAAGTTTGGTAATTTGTCTGAGGTCATACATTCATTAGTAATAAAGCTGAAAACATTAGTCTAGTGCTTATCACAGCTCCCCATTTCTGAGCATTTTAAGTCTGATTTTATGTCGCATATATGCATCTCTACATGTCTATTTACATGTATCTTTACGTATATATATATGTGTGAGTGTTTTGCTAGCAATATTTTTGGAATGCGAATGTTTGGAGAGGAAACTAGTTTAGAATTTATTAAGTACTTAATTGTGAATCTGGCATGTTATCTCAATTTAATCCTCACAACATTTCTGCAAGATTAGATTGCATTATCCAAACTTTATAGATAAGAAAATTGGCTCAGGGAGATTTAAAAATCAGAATTTGAACTTGTGTTTGACTGAATTCAAACCTCATACTTTTTTTTGTTTGCCTGTTTTAGCAGGTCACTAAAACTGAAGTGAGTCTAGGGCAAGTCAAGAGCAGGGAGTAGGTGGTACTAATTTTTTAATCTGTTGCTTACTATAATAGTACTGACTAGGTCATACTTGTTCTGTAAAGGCTAAATATTCTTCTTGCCAAACTTCATAATTTTGTTTCCCCCCAAGGTGGTAGTCATACTTCAGCTTTTCTAATCTTTGTACACCTGTATCTGTGGGGGTTTTTTGTATTCATGGATTTAACAGAAATGTATGCAATATATAGTGAAAGTTATTCTCTGAAAACTTTTCTGTAAAATCAGTTACAATGATTCATATTTTCTTATTGACTTATATTACAGTTTGAGTTTTGTAATCAGGGGAAAAAATGACTTGTAGCAAAGTATACTTCCTCCTCTAAAATCTTTTCTGAAACTTAAAATTATACATAAAATTTTACATACAGATATTATTCTGCAGAGCGGTTCCATAGCTTTCCTAAGATTATTAAAGAGACTGCTTGATGTAGAAACAGATAAGAACCATTTCCTAAAACATTAAAGACCAGTTTTTCCTTTTTTATTTATTTTTTTTTTTTTTTACAGTTTGCCAGGTATGGGTATTAACATTATGGAGGATTTTGGCCTGACCATACATAATCTTTGATATTCTGATAAGTTAAAGAATCAAAAAGGAACAAGTAAAACTCATTCTTTCTTTGTTAACTCTTTACACTAACTGCCATATTTGTTTTGAATCCAGAAAATTAGGTGCAAGTGAAGGAACTATAAACCAGGAAATTCAGCGTTATCAACAGTTAGAATCTGTTGCTGTGAATGATATTAGAAGAGATGTTCGTAAAAAGTTACGGAGGTCCAGTATGCGAGTGAGTAAACAAAGAGGATTTTAGTAAATTATACTATTTAAAAAATGCTTTTATTTTATGAAAGTTATGATGACAGTTATGTTGTTCTCCTTCCTTGTTCATTGCTGGTGATAACACTTGGTTTTTATATCTCGTGTCTACTATGTACTAAGCACTATTTAAAGCACTTTACACATAACAACTCATTAAATCTTTATAACAACCCTATGTGTTAGCTTGTATCATTGAATATTTTCCCCATTTTAAAGTTGAGGAAACTGAGGCATAGAGAACTCAAGTAATTTCACCAAGGTTACACAGCCAGTAATCCCAATGGAGCCAAGATTCAAACCCAAACAGTGGGATTCTATAGGTTATGCCCTTAGCCACTGTGTTTTGTTTGCCTGTCATAAAGTCATACTCTCTTTTCTGACTCTAAGTCAAATGTGAAATCTTTTGAAATGTCCATTCTACCCCATCCCATTTTCCACAGCTGACTTTACTCGTAGCCACTACAAACTCTTCGGCATTTTATTCTTACCTTTATTATTTGTATGTTTAGTTGCCCTTACTAGAGTTTGAGTCTCTTAAAGGACAAAGTTATTTATCTTTGACCCTACCATCTACCATGTTCTGGGATTTAGCCTAGTTGCTGAACAACTGAAATAAATATAGTAGAAAATAATTATAAAACTTATTCAAATAGAGGTAAGTCGCTTTGGGTCAAGGTGGTCTTCTTAGTAGAAAAACTAATATTTTAAAATGTAGTCAGCGGAACCCTCCATTTTTCTAACCAGAATAAGGTTTTGGGTACCACCCCAATACATAAGAACTGATTAAATCAGAGCTGCTGAGCTTAGAGGAAGTGGGGAAGGCTTCAGGGATCCTTAGTTCATTGGCTTGAGCTGTCTTTCCTTGGTCACTACCAGAGTCCCAGATAACCTCATTTGAAAACTGTTCTAAATTATTTAAATTAGGGGTAAAATTCAGCTTAATATTCATCACTGGCTTCTGATGCTACTAAATGGACAGTGATGATCAGTAATATAGAACTTTAAAATTTATGACACTATGTACTTCACAGTCATGTGACATAGTGTTAATATTGCTGCATACTATTTATGTTAGTTTACACTTGGTAAACTTTAAAAAATAAAACTAGATAGAGAGGATTAGGGAAATTATTGAAATTACATCTGTGTTCTTAACATTTGTCAAATTTGTCAATTCCCTTTTAGTTCCACTCAATTCCCTTTTATTTCTCTTGCTTTCTTATCTCCATTATTAGACTTTTTAATATCCAATCTCTCCAAACTATAAATTTGAAGAAGAAGGATTTAGAGACAAGGAGGGTGTTCCAGTTGCCACTTCCTTTCCTTTTCTGTAATTAAGAGTTCTCTTGGTGGGATAGTACTTAAAATGATTAGTGTCACTCTCTTTCTCACCTTTCTCCCAGAGTCTTTCCTTTCAATTCTCATTTTCTTTTCTTACTGTTTTCTTTCTTCCCCCTGATTTCTGTACCTCTCAGCCTTGCTCCCAGTCTTTCCTCTCAGGCCAGCTAGTGGCTCCTATATTCCTTGTAAGAGGAACTGACGTGTGGGCTAAAGAGTAGCTGATTCCTACTGCACTTTGATCCGTCTCTGTTGTTAAGTGACATTTAAAGTCACAATTTAAGATAACTTGTTATTGATCTGAAGGAGACTTGTTAAGTGACATTTAAAGTCACAATTTAAGATAACTTGTTATTGATCTGAAGGAGACTAACTTGTTAACTAGCAGAAAATTTTATCTGAAGTCAGATATTATAACAGTTAAAAGTCACCTTATTTCTTTCCCTTTCATTAGGCTGCTTCTCTAAAGGATAAGTGGGGTTTGGGTTACAAACCAAGTTACAGCAGATCGAAGAGCATTTCAGCTTCTGGAAGACCACCTCTTAAGCGAATGGAAAGGACAAGGTAGTATATTTCAATCGGTGAAACAAGTAATAAAATTGCTGACTCTTTTGCCAAAGTTCACTACTTATTTATTGTGTTCTAATTGGACAGATTACAAAATTAAGGTAGCAAATGGATGCTGTCAATGTAAGAAGTTTGAGGAATTCTGTCTCATTTAAATACACTTTTATATTATAAAAGTCATTGTGTACTTTTTAGTAATGAAGTTCATTGCCATTTAGACAAATTTATGTGTAAACTAATAGACCATCCAAAGAAATGAATATTTGCATATTAGTAACTATAGCTTTAACTTTGTCACTGTAGAAAAGGTTCTTGGAAAAGAACCTTTAACATATGGAAGAATGTAAATTTTATATATTATAGAAAAATATACAGAAAAATATAGTTTTACTAGTAAAAGAACACTATTGGGACTTCCTGGTGGTCCAGTGGTTAAGACTTTGCCTTCCAATGCAGGGGGATTTGATCCCTGGTCAGGGAACTAAGATCCCACATGCCTCATAGCCAGAAAAACAAAACCTAAATCAACAGAAGCAATACTGTAACAAATGCAATAAAGATTTTAGTCCACATCACACATACACACAAACTTAAAAAAAAAAAAAGAAACCTTAAAAACACTATACAATAAGTATAAATTGTTTTTTATAAGGTTTGGTTTTAGAAAATCTTGTGTTAATTAAAGCAATGAATTTTGTTTTATGCGATGCTCAATATTAAGGAGTTCCAAAAGTTCAATCCTTGAATAAAGTAAATACTTAGAAATAAAGTGTTAATGTCATTAATCAGACTTTTATAAAAGTCCAGGGTTTTAAGAATATTAATGTTTAATAACCTTATATTTTACTTACAGTTCTCGAGTAGGAGAAACCGAGGAGCTCCCAGAAATTCGTGTGGATGCAGCATCTCCTGGACCCAGAGTCACTTTCAATATCCAAGATACAGTAAGAGAGAGACTATTTGTTGGTGATACACAGTGCTAAGGAATCTTTAGTAATTACTAAATTATATGAGTTACTCAGTTTAGAAATACTGATTCCTGCAAGTGGAAGTACAGATTGTGATGGGTAAGGTGTCTGTGCTTTACCAATAGGGCACTGCCCGAATGCTGTCATCTGAGAGCCATACTGCAAGTATTAGTGTTTTGTGTACAGAATAGTCTCCATACTGCTTGCTCATAGGTAGAAACGTTTTGTTGAATAATTTCTTTCAAGTTCAGTTCCACATTAAACTAGGTAGTTTATACAAATGTAAATGTATATGTTTTTATTTAATTTATTTTGTTTATGTACTTTAGCTCAGAATATATAGAAATAATATCATAAACTAGTAGTTAAAAAGTCAGTTTCAAAGTTATACTATAATTTAACCATAGCATGTTAAAATTTATGTTAAAATGTTTGTTCTTTTTTTTTTGTTTACTTTTAAAACATTGGTTTTTTACTTTTCATAAATTTTTATAAATTTTCTTATTATTTTAATTAAGTTGAAAAAAACAGTATGGGGAAGTGCACCACAATCCAGCTGTCCTGGGGAAGGGTATTTTCAGGTACTTTTTAAGAACAACATAAGTTTTCCTTTAAAATTAATTAACCACTCTGAAAATCTGCTTTCAAAATGTCTTCTTCTCATTTCATACTAAACTCAGATCTTGAAAATATTTTACATAAAGCTTTAAAATGATTGGTTGAATTCTTTTTTTATCATGTATATTTCATAAACTCTTGCATGAATATAATTCTATACTTATAATTTAATAGTAATTATTTAATCTCAAAAATTAAAGGACTAAATCAGTGGACCAATTAATGAAATCATAAACCAAAAACTGCCATATATTAGTTATTTGCTAATCTCTAAGTGAATCTCTTTTTCCCTACATTCATCTATAAAAAGAATCAACTTTTTAAAAAATGAGTTACCTAATTCAAACTAGAATCAAACCTATCTCTGAATAACAAATTAATCATTGAATGTTATTTATTGACTCACTGATATAAAAAAGCATTTATAAAAGTAATCTATTAAAAATTATGTTCAAAACAGTATAGAAAATGTGCTACACAATCATTTATAAGTTAAATTAACACCTTTATAAACCACATGTTTTCCCTAAATATAGTTGTAAGAGTAAAATTTAATTTTAAAATTGTTTGTATAGTAGGTGTATAAATCTTTGTCTAGAAATTTTCCACCAAGTTACATTTAAAAACTGGAACTTACTCCACATTTGTTTTGTTTCACTTCCCCCACTCTTGTAAGATAACCTCAATATTTATCCCATAGTTCCACTGAATTTAGTCAAGCTGAATTGTTTTAGAATTATTCGGTTGTAACAGAGTAAGCTTGACAGGCATGTCCTTTTTTCTAAAACTGAACCTGGAAATAAATCATTTATAGTGAATTGAATAGATTCTACTAATTGATTTTTTTCACCTGTCCAACATTTTTTAAATCAGGAAAATTGACATGTAACATTATTTTCAAGTGTATAGCATAATTATTTGATATATGTATATACTGTGAAATGACTGATTTATTCTTAAAGGCATTAATATTTGAATTGATTCAAGTCCTGTTTCTAAATTATGTATGCTGTTTATGAAAAATAGTATATAAAAATAAGTTACAAAGTAGACCATTAAGCATGGTTGAGTAGAAAGCTCAGTTGTGTCCAACTCTTTGCAACCCCATGATTATACAGTCCATGAAATTCTCCAGGCCAGAATACTAGAGTCAGTAGCCTTTCCCTTCTCCAGGGGATCTTCCCCACCCAGGGATCGAACCCAGGTCTCCCACATTGCAGGCAGATTCTTTACCAGCTGAGCTCCAAGGGAAACCCGGTTAAATAGAAAATAAATATAAAACAAAGAGATGTTTATCTATATAAACTCTTAGCACAGCTTTAAAGAATCAAAGATTTTCTTATAAAATATGACTTACATATTTACTAAATGATGTTTTGAAGAAAAGCTATAAAGAAAATCTAGATTCTGCAAATGTTTGAAATTTTGATTATAGGATTTCACTATGCATCTAATTGTAGTATCAATAAATTTACTTTGCACATTATACATTTCAAAGGCTTGTCACATTCTCAAAGGATATGTAAGCAACTCTCAAAACTTGGAATCAAAATTAGGACATAGAAGTTTTTGTGTGTTTTTTTTTGCCTATTTAAATGAAATGGCCTTCATGGTACAGTCCTCAGGGAACAACATTATATTTATACAAACTATTCACCTTAAAATATAGGATTCTTACATTTGATTGGCTGACATGCTTAATTATGTAACTATTTACACATCTTTCTTCAGCCCTTTAGGGCCCATTTTAAAAAGATGTATCCACAAAAAGTATTCTAGAAGCACAAAGTGCATTATGTGCTAACACCTGCATGCTCTTCCATCACTAACTGCTCTCTTGACCTTCTAATTTAAAGTGGATCACATTGTTTACTCTTGTCTCCATACTATGACTAACTGTTCTTTAAAGAATTACGATATGTACTAATTCACGTGATGCTATACGCTTACATAAAGTAAAATTTCACTCTGATCTTTAGTGTGTCCGTGGTATGACTTTCCTGTGGTTTGAACTTCTTCCTTCCTTGTTTTATATGCCATTTCATATGTTCACAGAGCTGACTTTTCAGTTCAGAGTGAGGAGATCCAGTTTTGAGATTTTAAATGCTTAAACATATATTTTTTCCTTTTTTAACTTGAAAAGAGGTTTGTAATATGAACCTGTTTCATGTTTTCTCTCTTTACATTCAGTTTCCAGAGGAGACAGAGTTGGACCTCTTGTCAGTAACCATTGAAGGTCCTTCCCATTACTCATCAAATAGTGAAGGGTCATATTCCGTGTTCAGTTCTCCCAAAACTCCAGGAGGCTTTTCACCAGGCATTTCTTTCCAGTCTGAAGAGGGTCGACGGGATGACAGTTTGTCTTCTACCAGTGAAGATTCTGAGAAAGATGAAAAGGATGACGACCACGAGAGGGAAAGGTTTTATATTTACAGGAAACCCTCGTGAGTAGTAGCCTTTTTGTTTTAAGATCCTTAGGCAGTACCCTAGAGCTTAAAACATTTTATGACTGTTAATGTTTACAGAAAAACAAATAAATCTTACTGTGCCTAGCCAGAGTGAGATGAGATATATCCATGATTTACTAGTATAATCTATCTCCATTTGGCATTGTTTTCTTTCCCCATTTTTTTTTAAACAAAATCTGGAAAGTAGCATTTAAATTTTACAGTTTATGAAATGAAATCTCCTCCAAAGTGTAGAATGTAGGTCATATTCTGATATTCAGACTCTTTATTAGTCAGTGATTGTACCTGTGTCCCAGGTACTTAGCACATTGTCTGGCACATAATAATCCCTCAGTACATAGTTGTTGAATAAAGTGTGACTCCATTAAACAGGAAACACCTCAGTTAGTAAGAGCTATCTGGGTAATTTGTGTGAATTTATAAAATAGTAAAATTTATTTACAGACTTTATTTCCAAAGTTATTTGGCTCAAAAGTAAAGAATCTGCCTGCAATGCAGGAGACCTGGGTTCTATCCCTGGGTCAGGAAAATCCCCTGGAGGATGGCATGACAACCCACTCCAGTATTCTTGCCTAGAGAATCCCATGGACAGAGGATCCTGGCAGGCTACAGTCCACGGGGTTACAAAGAGTGGGACACAACTGAGCAACTAACACTTTCATCGCTCACATGACATGTTGGAAAATAGTTTGCTGAAAACTTCCTATTTTACTACAATATAATGACCAGCTGTTCTTCCTCTAGACATACATCTCGTAAAAAAGCAACAGGCTTTGCTGCTGTTCATCAGCTATTTACAGAACGCTGGCCAACAGCCCCAGCCAACAGAAGTCTTAGTGGCACAGCTACAGAGAGAAATATTGACTTTGAACTTGATATTCGAGTTGAAATTGATAGTGGAAAATGTGTGCTCCACCCAACCACCCTTCTACAAGAACATGATGATATAAGCTTGAGAAGGTAAGATATTGGTCAGAAAGGGGTACATATAACTTCATTTGTTAGGAATACTATTTATATATCACTAATCATAACAAACACTTCTCCCCACACCCCAAAATACAGACTTAAAGAGTATTTCTAATCATAGTTGGAGTGTTTGACTGTTCATTTATGTAATATTCTATTTCTTTAAGCAAATGTATAATACTTTTTGGTGATTAGAAATGGATGACTGATTTAGATTCTGCAAATCTGTTAATTTGAACACTTTTATCTTTGGAATTCTCCAAGTATGAATTCCTCACGTAGTCCCTATCCTGTTACTCACATTTCTGTTTCAAAGGATGGTACAATACTCAAAGGTGTCTTGTTACTGAGAGTTTGATGAGTTCATAAAGAAATAAGAAAGACTGGGAAACAATTGAACAAAGAGGCCTCAGTAAACTGGAATGTTGCTCAGGCTGTAACTGTAGCTTTACCACGTTTCCACCATTGAAAAAATAGTTGTATAAACAGGCCTAAAGTTAGATTCGTTTTTCTTTGAATTTCTGTTTTGCTTTTTCTTCCTAATCTAAAAAAAAATTAGTGAAAATAACTATTAATAATTTAGTGGATGAATAAGAAATGGGTGGAAATGCAGGTGAAACATGTAGGAAGAATGCTGACAATTGTTGAAGCTGGGAGATGGGCCCATGGGGGTTCATTCTACCATTCCATTTACATTTGTATGTTGTAATTTTCTATAATAAAGATTTTTAAATGTCTCACTGTCTAATAAAGATTTTTATACAATGAAATGACAAAAAGGCAGTATAACTAGTTCAAGTCTTAGAGGTGTAATAGTGATGATAAAAAGAATGTTAGTTTATTTTTGGTTGAACTGCAATAAGCCAAAATAAACTGCTGGTATTCAGCTATATTGACCTACGTAAAGAGTAGTTTCATTTGGTTCAGCCTTCATTTGGAAGAGTTGTGACCTCAGGAAAGGACAAAGGTAACTGCCCTGTATAATTATGGAACATACAACATAAACCTTATCCATGCAAGGATTAGCCAGTTTAGCTAGAGATAATGAGGAGCCTCACTTTTTCAACTTTATTAATAGAAGTTTGACTTTAAACAATATAAGAGAAATGTCTTTCAAAAGGATAAAAAAACATTTTTGTCTTTCTATAGGAGTTACGACAGAAGTTCCAGGAGTTTAGATCAAGAATCTCCTTCCAAAAAGAAGAAGTTTCAAACTAATTATGCCTCTACCACCCATTTAATGACTGGCAAGAAAGTTCCATCATCTCTACAAACAAAGCCCAGTGACTTAGAAACAACAGTATTTTATATTCCTGGAGTTGATGTAAAGGTAAAAACCTAAATATCTAGGATAAGAAATTAGATTATTATTAGCCAGGTTTATTTTCTATCATATATATTCTTCCTTCACTGCTGCTGCTAAGTCACTTCAGTTTTGTCCAACACTCGTTACATTAAAATGAGACTTTCTGAAGTTTCCTCTAATGTAGTTGTATTCTGAACATGAAATTTTCTAAATTGCATATTGCCCCATGTGCATGAAATTTTGACAGGAAGAAGTTAATTTTCTTTTCTAAACATTGATATTCATGTTTGCAAAACATTGCCTATTGCAACTTTTTTAGATTCTAGAATTATACATTCCTAGAATGTTAAGCCAGAAAGAATTTAAAATAGTATCTGGATGATCTCTTTTCACTTTAAAAATGAAAAAAAGCTAATAAGGAATTTGATAGAATCACAAAGCTAACTTGTAAAATCTTCTGGTTCCTGGATCAGTGTTCTTTCTGCCAAATTTTAGTACATTTCTTTGTTTTCCTCATGTGCATAATTTTAATTTTGGAAGTTTATTTGTTTCAATACAGTTGCATTACAATTCCAAGACTCTAAAGACCGAATCACCTAATGCCTCCAGAGGATCTTCCTTGCCACGAACACTCTCTAAAGAGTCCAAGCTGTATGGTATGAAAGATAGTGCAACATCTCCTCCTTCTCCTCCTTTACCTTGCACTGTCCAGAGCAAGACTAACACCTTACTTCCTCCCCAACCCCCACCTATTCCCTCAGGTATTTAAGGAAAATATACTTTAACTTTTTTCATAAATTAATTTTAAGTCATCACCTACTTGCTCTAGTAAGACTTTCAAATTCACATGTTTAAGAAAAAAGGACTTAGACTTGCCGATAATGACTGTACAAAATTCATGTATGGAAGTGTAAGCTAATTTCTTTTGCCTAGTTTTCAAATTACTATTACCTTAGAATATCAGTTTTTACTTAATTTTTTAGATCTATGTATACAGAATACATTGAACTTAGACCATATTTATTATCTATTATTATATAACAAATTATCCCAAACTTAGTGGCTCATAATCTTAGACATAGTTTCTATGGATCAGAAATTCAGAAGCAGTTGGGCTGGGTGCATCTAATTTCACAGTTTTCTATGAAGTTGCAGTCAGGATGTTGGGTAAGGATACAGTCATCCAAATGCTTGACTGGGTCTGGAAAATCTGCTTCCATCATATCCCATTCACATGGCTGACAAGCTGGTGCTTTAGTCTTTCCCCACATGACTGGGCTGCTTGAGTGTTCCCATGACATGGCAGCTGACATTCCTTCAAAAGGAGTGATCCAAAAAAATACATGGCTGAAGCTTAAATATCTTCTATGGCTTAGTCTCAGAAGTCACATACCATCATTTCCACAATATCTTATTGATCATATAGGTGACCCTTATTCAGTGTGGGAGGGAACTACACAAGAGCATGAATACCAGGAGGAAAGGACCGTTGGAAGCTATTTTGGAATCTGGCTACTATACCACATGAATAATACCTTATATATAAAATAGAATTTCAAAAAATGGTTATATTGGGTTAGACAAGAATTAGTGAAAAAGCTTTATTTGAGAGATGGAACTTGATACATTAATCTTTCAAAGTAGCCAGTAATCATGATAATAATGCCTAATATTTTTATATCACTTCTCAATTGACAAGACACATCTATGTCCATTAAGTGCGGGGCAGGTATTATTATCCCCATTTTATATCTGAAGAAAGTTAAAGCTCATGAAAGTTGAATTTCTTTCCTAGGTTTACAAATTAATACATGGTAGACTTGGAAACCTAAGCCAAAGTTACCTAAATCTTAGCTGTTATATCATTCTGTTGATGTGGAAATATTTAGTCAGGTAGAAGGAAGGAGAGATGCAGCCCATGTAAGGAGGCATGTAAATATTTACCAGGTAAGAACAGCAAGAACCTAAGAAAGTGTAAAAACTGATGTTTTCCCTCACTTGCCACAAATTATCATTAGTCAGGGTCCTCTATATCTTCTTAAGTGGACAGATAATACTAAGTGAGAGACTAAATGCTAAAATACTAATGAGAGAGTTAGCGAAGTATATATTTGAAAAACTGAACCAAAATTTGTGACCTGGAGCAAGTAGGAGTAACTGTTATATTTATATACATCATTGATCATCTCTGTATTCTAACAATAAGATTTCTATCAACCTATTTTTATTGCATTCTTGTATGGTTTTAAGTATAAGGTGCTTCACCTGATTAAACTCATATAATTCTAATTTCTCACACAATTATGTTTTCTGGAAACTATTAAATCCATCTCACATCTGTACATCTTCTAGCCAAAGGAAAAGGAAGTGGAGGAGTAAAAACAGCCAAGTTATATGCCTGGGTAGCACTTCAGTCATTGCCAGAAGAAATGGTAATCAGTCCCTGCCTATTAGACTTTCTGGAAAAGGCTCTGGAAACTATCCCAATTACACCAATTGAAAGGAATTATACAAGTGAGTGTCCTCTTAAATACTTAACTGCCCATCACATGTATTTTGGGGTCCTGTTACTAGAAGGATTTTGTAATGCTTTTATATATTACTGTATAATACATTCAATGATAAAGGAATTATAGAACTGAAAAAGAACTTGAGAGACCATCTAGTCTTGGTGGGGTTTATGATTCCTCCATGACTACAGCTACTTAATGACAAAATTAACATCCTTAATCCTGTGTTTGAAGAAGCAAATGGCAACCTACTACAGTATTCTTTCCTGGGAAGTCCCATGGATAGTGGAACCTGGCGGGCTGCAGCCCACGCATTCACAAAAGTTGGACATGACTTCTCAACTAAACAACAACAGGTCCTATATTAGAGTGACTCTGGGACTGGAAACACACCTTGAGGACAATGGCAAAATTACCATTTTCTTTGTATGTTGTTTGGTACAGCAGCAGGAATCAAGAGCTTGAAGAAATGAGTAAGAGGTTTGAATAGGGAAAGATGTAATGAATAATGGGCTACAGAAGCCAATGTTTCTGTGCATTCATACCCTGATCTCAGTACTAGCAAAAGAGAAAAAGATCTTTTAATAAATAGTTTGCCTTTACCCTAACAGTAAAACTTTAAATGTTTTAACAGCTGTCAGCTCTCAAGATGAAGATATGGGACATTTTGAAATACCAGATCCTATGGAAGAATCAACAACATCACTAGTATCATCTTCAACATCTGCTTACTCTTCCTTCCCTGTAGATGTTGTGGTTTATGTACGAGTTCAGGTAATAAACGTCATCTATTCCTTTTTATTTTAAAGAAAAAATGTTTTTTTAAGTTTATTTGAACATTTACAATATTAATTGCTTTTAAAGTTTTCTTAAGGTTCATGGACCTCTAGTATGTCTATGATGGCCTAGAGGTTGCCTGAACCTCTGGAAAGTATATGTACAATTTTATGTGTTATTTATTTGTCTGCTGAGGAAGTTCATATCTTTGAGTGTTCAAAATTGAGATCTCATTCTTTTGTGGCAAAGGTAAAAATATGTAAGTTAAAACTCTTTTTTTTAGCACATTATGCCTTTTAAAAATTATATCATGGCATCTGTATTTCTTGTCATTATGGTTATTTGTGGGCAGACATAAAATGAAATTGAGATATAAAGTCACAATAGTACCTTTTTTAGATTCTTCTAAGGGTTATATAATCACATATTTAATAATTTTATTCTAAAATTCAGTCCTGTTTCAGGCCTGTTGGAGTATAGGCTTCCCCTCTGATACTGTGGGTTAAGTTCCAGACTACCACTATAATACAACAATTATGGAAGTGAAGCAAGTTACTTTTTATGATCACTCAAGAATAAAAGAAACACTAATGATCATCTCTTCAGATTAATTTCTACAAAAGCAATTTGGCCAAAAGAATTTCAGTCTGATCTTTTGGAGTTTTGCACTAGCTTTTTTCAAGATCTGATGAAAACATAAGTGAGGCCTGGAGAGTTTGTAAAACTTCAGTTATAAATGCAATAATAGCCTTTTAAAATTTTGGCTTAAAGAAATTACTTGCTTTAAAATACTTGATTATGAACAACATGGACATAAATAAATTTAATGTTCTAAATTATCTAAATGCCTACATATTTACTGTTTAGAATTCCTCAAATATTTAGTTTTAAAAGTGATGCGATTTTGTTAATGCATTTTGGTTAATGTATATGTGTCTGTTTGAAAAAGGAAGGGCATTAAACTCAAAATAATAAATTTGATATGTGTAGACTGAAATGGAAACTGAATGTAATTTCTGGAGTCCAACAGAAAAATTTTTAATCACCTAATTCCCTGGTGGCCTAGAAGGTAAAGTGCCTGCCTGCAATGAAGGAGACCCAGGTTCGATTCCTGGGTCAGGAAGATCCCCTGGAGAAGGAAATAGCAACCCACTCCATTACCCTTGCCTGGAAAATCCCGTGAACGGAGGAGCCTGGTAGGCTACAGTCCATGGGGTCACAAAGAGTCGGACACGACTGAGCAACTTCACTTCCTAGAAACTTTTCTTTGTCTTTCTGTACTTTTCAGCCCTCACAGATCAAGTTTAGCTGTTTACCAGTGTCAAGAGTAGAATGCATGCTAAAGCTGCCATCCCTGGATTTGGTGTTTTCGTCAAACCGAGGCGAACTGGAGACTTTAGGGGCTGCATATCCTGCAGAGACCTTATCCCCTGGAGGTAGTGCTCCTCCAAGCGGAACAAAAACCTCCTCGAGCAAAACTGGAGTACCAGGTATGGAAACATTCTTTTATTCAATTAGCATAAAAAGCCAAGTACTATTTTAATAGTAAGTAATAAACATTTCCAGATAAATACATTTGGAAAAGGAGAATATTTGAGAATTAGGATATTTATAGAAAAAATCTATAGTGGATCAAAGTTTTGAGTGTATTTCATTATACCCAAGGAGTGGCAGTTGCACAGCGTTTTGTTGTCCATTCATGTGCATATCACATGTAATGTGAAGTGTGAATGATGATGTGTTCAAGTACTTTTGAATGTTTTATTTTATGCTGTATTTTTACGTTATGAGTGGTCAGTGTTGCAAATGGTAAGAGCGAGCTGTAGTATTATCTTGCAAGGATTTCTTATCACACTGAATTAAAAGTATATCAAATTGTGTGTATATGTATAAAAACAATCTTAGTGGTAAAATGTTACTTAACCCAAACGTCAGTTTCATGAAAGGTTTAGGTGTTAGAGTAGAACCGATGATTTCCTGATGAGACAGTCATTTTCCACTCAGTGTCATTTCTGCCCTAAAACTCTGGAGGTTACAAATGCAGGATGTGAAGATTTTATGGGACATTTTTAAAAAGAAAAGCCAAAATGAATGAAAATGTAAAAGAACTGATAAGAGAACTAATAATAAGACAGTTTATCAGTTCTACCCCTAAAGCAGATATTGGAATATTCACTTTTTTCTTAATATCAAAATGTGATAAATTAACACAAATTATTATAGCAGTATATATGCACTATGCTAGGAATATATAATGAAAGGAATATAAAATAAGCAGCTATTTTTATGCCCACGTTTCTTTTAGAAAATGAAAAAGTGAAGTAGCACCCTTTATGTTATAATAAAACATGCAGGAAAGAATGATGATGATAATAAATATATAAGAAATGTAGATTATGACAATATCCATTCTTTGAAAAGGTCTTTATGAACTTGACTGAGTTCTGGATCAGTGCTAAGGGCTGGATATACAGTAGTGAACTTAGCTAACAAGCATATTCCCTGCTAATGTGAATTGAATTGAATTTGGAGAAATAGATAATAAGCAAACAAGTATATTTTCAGTGAAAACATGAAGGTGGTAAGTATAAGTTAGCCATGTAGACAGTTGGGGGAATAAAACACTCCAGGTACAGAGTATAAAATCTATAAAGTAGGAAAGAGTTTGACAACTCTTTGAAATTAGCCTGTTCCACTCATGGTGAATGTTGCCAATAAGGCCTTCTTGATTTCTAAGAGAGAGACCTGTAACTTTCTCCATTTGTGTACATAACTCTGTTTCCACTGTTTCTGTGGAAATGTGGACTCCAGTTGTATGATTTGGATTTTTTACAATTCATTCTCCTCCACTGCTTAAAACTCAGCTATTTTGTACCTCTTCCAACTGCCTGCTTCCAGTAGAACAAAGGAGAAATTAAACAGGAAACCTTGGAGTTGGCCAGTCATATGTATAAATAATTATTTCAACAATGAACAGAATATTCAGCCCTGGTTTATACAGTATATTAATTGGAAAATACATCTAAGCCCTCATGTTAAGGATTTAAATCTACTGATCAGTTAATGTTTGACTATTTCCATTTTATTTTCAAATCATGTTTGGTTCTTGAGACTATATTAAGGACAGGTTTTTTTAGTACTTTCTGTGTTTTATTCTATTTTGGGTTTCTTGTGTTCCCTATAGGTTCATCAGGATTAGGCAGCCCTCTTGGCAGAAGTCGACATAGTAGTAGTCAGTCAGATCTGACCAGTTCCAGCAGCAGTTCCTCTGGGCTGAGCTTCACTGCATGCATGTCTGACTTTTCCCTTTATGTATTTCATCCATATGGAGCAGGGAAACAAAAAACCGCTGTTTCTGGCCTTACACCTGGATCAGGAGGATTAGGTATACTTAGCATGTTTGCATCTTTTTCAAATTTATCACATCTTTTCAAGTTTTCATCTTTTTAAAAATGATGTTATCTTTAATTAATGGATATAAAATGAGATCAGAAACTTTATTTTTCTTCTTGATAATATCTATCCTGTCTCTACATTAAATAAACAGAAATATGAAATAAGTAATGTAGGTAAATCATATAAGATTTTAAAATTCAAAGTATTTTATAAGTGATATACACTGTGTAATCTCTTCAGATATGAGGTTACTTATGTTACTTAAGTGTTTAAATGTTTCATCAAATTGCTATTTGTATAAAAAATTATATTCTGTCAATAGTTAAAATTTTAAATTTGTACATCACCACATTTGTTTATTTAAAATGATATTCTTTAATATGACTATTTATTTAGTGAACTTAAATTCCACTGCCATTTTAAAGTACAGATTTACCACTAAAAATACATAGGATGTTGGTATTAGCAAATGTTATTAACTTATTTAGACAAATAATAGACACACTCCATGTAGGTGCTGGTTTTTGTTGAGATGTAAAAATCACCAGTTATGGTTATGGACTTGAACCTATTACTGTTAGGAATGTCTAATGTTCATTATGTCATTCTGCTTAAATTTTTAACCTCATTTAAGTGATTTTAATTAATAGCATATTATAGCCTATTGAATAACTTCATGTAACTAGTTGTTGGGGATTTGTGTGTATATATATATGTGTGTGTGTGTATGTGTGTTTTCACGTTTTTTTTTTTTTTAAGGGAATGTAGATGAAGAACCCACTTCAGTCACTGGTCGAAAAGACTCACTCAGTATAAATCTCGAGTTTGTAAAAGTGAGTTTGTCTCGGATAAGGCGTTCTGGAGGTGCCTCATTTTTTGAAAGTCAGTCTGTAAGCAAGTCTGCAAGCAAAATGGATACTACACTAATAAATATATCTGGTATTCAATTTTATATTTTTTAATTGAAATATTGTTTTTCCAGAATTAAATAAGGGCCTCCTTTTAAGTGTTTAAATATAAAATAATTGAATAATATTAAGCATTTAGTGATAAACTGATTTAAAGGAGAATAACAACTTCCAGCCAAGTACTATCTCAGTCCAGTGAGATATCAGTGTTATAAATAGGATTTCTAGATACATACATTGAAATATCACCCAAGAGCCAAAATATGCCTATTTAAGTCACTAAAAACTGCTTCTTCACTTCTCTACCATGAGTTGGTACAACTTCTGACTTATTTTTTGATTTTTTAATTATAAAATCTTAAAACACTAAGGAGGAATGGGTGTTGAAAATTTTTTACTTGGTATCCTAAGATCTTGAGTTGTGTACCTGTGTATCACTAGCTTTATTATAAAGCTAACTAGTTATATATGATGGACAAATCACTTGCTCATTTTCTGTACACTGTGATTTGAGTATTTAAAATTGAGTAGAACATTTTGAAGAATTTAGAGTACTAAGTGAGTGAAAACTTTAAAAATTATTCCAACAAATACAGGTAAGTACACTTAATCCACTCAACACAATATATGTTTGGTCATTCAGCAAACATATAATTGAGCCTGTATTTTACAGTGAACTTGTGCCAGGCACCCTGCTAGGTGCTTGAAGATGCCCATGTGAATAAGGCAAGGTCTTAGGAAGGCAAGGTCTTAGGAGTAGACAAATTACAGTGCAGTGTGACAAATCCTATAATAGAGGTTTACTTAAAGAGGAGGAAACAAATTCTGTTTCATATGAGAGGAGAGAAGGTTTCACAAAGGATATGATGTTGGGGCCAGTCTTCAAAATTATGTAGGAATATTCTTGGCTATGGCAACATGGTATTTAATGGTCAGGGCATCAAAAAGTATGCTTTTGGATCATACTTTGATTCACTGAATTAAAGCATAGGTGTAACTGAACACTGAGTTAGTTGTACAAAGTAGATGGGCCCAGAGACAGGGAGGACTTGACTGGAGGTAAAGCTGATAAAACAGCCCAGGACATGACTATGGGGTGAGGGGGACTCATACCATGCTAAAAAATGGGGTTCTGATCCTTTGGGCAAGGAAAAGCCATTAGCAGTTTTTAAGAAGTGCATGACAACATTGTCCTTAAAGATAGCAATACTGTACTGTACACTGAAAAATCTGTTACGAGGGTAGATTTCATGTTAAGTATTCTTGCCACAAAAAAAGAACCACCAAAATTATACACAAAATACTAACAAAATACTAACTTCTGCCATATGGTTACTTGGTTTGCAGCTGCTTTTGAAGAAGTCTGTATTCTAGCTAATCCTGATTATTCCTTTTCCATATGTGAGAGGGGCCCTGTGTTAAAGCTGGAAGCTGTCTATAAGACTGATCTCAGATCCTGTGTGAGAATTTCATGATAAAGTGGTAACAGAATTCCAGTTTGCTCTCACCTTAAAAATGGAAATGGAACTAACGGTGCTAGAATGTGCTATTTTTATCAACTGTGAAAGGAACACATGATCACTTACTGATCATACTATATACCTAATTTTGGTATTTCAAGAATTGTAACAGAATTATAATTCAGTTGTGTAATATATCTACCATGTGAAAATATAAAGGTTTTGGAAATATGTTCTAACAAATTTTATTTATGTATCAGCTGTTTGTGATATAGGGTCTGCTTCCTTTAAATATGACATGCGCCGCCTCAGTGAAATTCTGGCATTTCCAAGAGCCTGGTATAGGAGGAGTATTGCAAGACGCCTATTCCTTGGAGACCAAACTATCAATTTGCCAAGTAAGCTTGTTTATGTAGTTATAGATTATACTTAGGCTGCTTTTAATTTTGATTACAATAATGATAAGATCCATGACTGATAACACAAACTTTGTCTTACTTGGTAAACTACCCTGCAGTTGTTTCACTCATTCAGTAAATGTCAGTGGAGCCCCTTTGACGTGCTGGTAACCACTGGGAATGTACTAGGGTCGGAGGGCACAAAATGCTTGCTCCCTTGGGGATTATTTTGTTCTGTGATGATTACCCTGTAATCTCCGTAAAATCTGGAAATGCATGAATAAATTTAACCAACTTAATCATGGTTAAACATGGAAAATAGAAAATATTGGGGACATGCTACCATATTTCATTTTTTCTCTTCGACATAGATACTGCTATAGTATTACACTGTGTAAGTGAAAGTTAAGAGTTAGCATTATACAGTAGAAAATATTAGAAATTTGGATTCTAGGTCTGTTCCCTCATCTGTAATATAGGACAGTGTCTGCCCTACCCTTCTCATATATCTTCTGTGAGAATTAAATAACATGCTGGAACTTTGCAGACTGGACATTGTATAGTTTTCAGAGAACTTGAAGAAATATAAAATGTGATTAGAAGTGGTGGAGTGGTGAAATTTCTTGTTTTATGGCATGGAGATATTATCCTGTTAATTTTGTTTTTGTTATCTATTTTCCTTTTAGCATCTGGCCCAGGGACACCTGATTCCATTGAAGGTGTAAGCCAACACCTTTCTCCCGAATCATCAAGAAAAGCTTATTGCAGGACGTGGGAGCAGCCTAGTCAGTCAGCCTCCTTCACCCACATGCCTCAGTCACCTAATGTGTTCAATGAGCATATGACGAGCAGCACCATGTCACCAGGGACAGCAGCACAGAGCCTAAAATCCCCAGCTTCCATAAGGTCAAGGAGTGTGTCCGATTCTTCAGTTCCCCGAAGAGGTAACACTGTTCTTTTGTTATCAGTAGCCCTCTAGAGCTCCTAATATAAAAATCTTAATTAGTCACTACCAGATTTTTGCCCCAACTGCAGGAAGAGATTCTCTTAGAGGTTTTTATGGAAGATGTGGGGTGGGGGTAGGAGTCCCAAATGCAACAACACACACATACACACACTTCACAGTATTTGCTAGTAGATGAGAGAGCTGGATGGCTAGTTGCTTTGAAAAGGGATAAGGAGAAAGAAATGAGCATAGTGTTAGCATGCTCCATATGGTAATTATTGTTAGAAGTAAAACAAACCTACAGTGTTGTAAAAGGTACTTGATATTGAAAAAGTTAAGTCATTCTTTTATTCAGCTAGTTTTTAACTTTCTTATGTGCTCAACACTCAACTTGGTGTCTAAGTACATAAAATGGTACAGTTAATGTCACAAGGTAATAGATTATAGAGTATAATTACAGAGTATAATGAGCAAACCCAGGACTCAAGATGCATACTGAGTCCATAAGAACACAGAAGACAGACAGAAGACAGGCATCCCGGTGAGCCTCTGCATTTCATAATGGTACCGGCCTTCCAAGTTCTTTTTGGCAGCAGCAACATGATTTTTGCCTTTGTTAGGAAAGTCTTAGGGTGATAAATGACCTGTGCTGCTGTCTATCATGCACACCAGCATCTCCTCATATGAAATGGAGATCATACAGAACTTTATGAGCTTTCAAGAAGTAAAACTGAACAGTCAGTAAATGGTAAATACTATTTTAGAGATAGTGTGACAGCTAATAAATGTTAGTTAGCTTTAACACAAAAATATCATAATTTTACTTTTTGGATTATAGTAATAAGAGTGATCTTTGCTTTGTAATTGGCTGAACATCTATATAAATAAATGTACATTTTATGTTCTATTTTTAGATTCACTTTCAAAAACATCAACTCCTTTTAACAAATCAAACAAAGCAGCAAGCCAACAAGGGACCCCATGGGAAACACTTGTCGTGTTTGCTATCAACTTGAAGCAATTAAACGTTCAAATGAATATGAGTAATGTAATGGGAAATACAACGTAAGCTATTCAGATACAAAGATACAAAGAAAATATATTTAATCATCATATATAATTTTTCTCATTGTTGTAGAGCAATACAAAACCTTTTTCAAATGCTGAAATGTTTCAGACAGTAAAGACAATAGATAAATTATAAATTGCTTTATCCTGAAAATGGTTTAATCCTAAAGATACTGTAACATAAAAACAGCATGAAATATGTGCTCTAAAAAGATAGAAAATAAGGAAAATAGCATAATTTTCTAGCTAAGAAGAAAGCATCATTATTAATATTCAAATGTTTACCATAGTTTTTATAAGAAATGTATTTTCATTGTCCAATTTTTTTTTGAAATCATATAACTCCTGTTTTAATTCATGACATTGGAAGCCATATGTCTATTTAATAAGCCTTTTTTCTTTTTGATAGCTGGACAACTAGTGGTTTGAAGAGCCAAGGCCGCCTGTCAGTAGGAAGTAATCGAGATCGAGAAATAAGCATGTCTGTTGGTCTGGGAAGATCACAGTTAGATTCTAAAGGAGGAGTAGTTGGAGGAACTATAGATGTAAATGCTTTGGAGATGGTTGGTATGTTGAAATTTATAGCTGAAAAATATATTGAGAAAAGCATTTGAAAATTGATTTTGATGAGTTTTTATTAGGCATTTCTGTGAAAAGTCATTATTGTTTCTATTTTAGCTCATATTTCTGAACATCCAAACCAGCAACCCAGTCACAAAATTCAAATTACTATGGGTTCTACGGAAGCTCGTGTGGATTACATGGGCTCAAGTATTCTCATGGGTATTTTCAGTAATGCTGACCTCAAACTTCAAGATGAATGGAAAGTAAATCTGTATAACACACTGGATTCAAGCATGACTGATAAAAGGTATTTAGTGAAATATTACTTTTTCAGTACTTTACATGACTGCTCTTAACATATTTTCTATCATTCAATGAAAAGACTCAAACTATTTTTCCTGCAATTACATGATTTTTATGTCATACAATTAATATGAATGAAAAGCTGATAGGGAAGAGATTTTTTTTGGGGGGGTGCTTTTAAACTATTTTCTATAAGATATATGATAAAAGACTCTGTTTTATGCTCTAGTGAAATTTTTGTCCATGGAGATCTGAAGTGGGATATTTTCCAAGTAATGATATCAAGATCAACTACACCAGACCTGATAAAAATAGGAATGAAGCTCCAGGAATTTTTCACTCAGCAGTTTGACACCAGCAAACGAGCTCTGTCTACCTGGGGACCAGTTCCTTATCTTCCACCTAAGACAATGACTAATAACCTAGAGAAAAGTTCACAAGAACAATGTAAGAGTTATAAAACTAAGACTTTATATATCTTTCACTGTGTGTTACAATTTTAATTTAAAACATTAAATATCATACTTAAAAAGGGGTCCATATGCTCTTAATATCCTACTCACTCAGCAAAGTACTCATGTCCTTCCCACCAATGGAATTAGAAGCCATCATTTGGAAAGACATTCATTCATTATCTCCCCTGCCACAGTCCATCTCTAATCATACCATTATTGCAAACTACATCACTATATTACAAATTAATACTTTTTACATAATTACTTAGAACTAATGATTTTGATTCTGAATAACTTACATTATATTTCTTATTACATTATTCATATTCATTTGATTATTTAATACATTCAATTATACTCCATGCTCTTGAATACTAATTATGATAATACCATGTTCTGGTTCAGAGCATGGGCCATGGAATCAGAATGTCTGAATTTGGATTTATTGGCTGTGTCATGTTACACAGTATATTATTTTCAATCAGTAATTCAAATATTATGTATCAACTATGTTCTTAAGCACTGTTTTAGGCATAGGGGATCTACTAGTGAAGAAAGTTCCTATTCTCCATTAAATTTTAATGGGAGAGACAGACCATAACTAATAACTAAGTGTGTAAGATAATTTCAGGTAGAGAGAAGTGCTGAGAAAAAGAACAAGGCAGGGGAAGAATATAGAGAATGACAGTCTGTGAGGATAAATATTTTAGAAAGGGTGGTAAAGGAAACCTTTTCTAAAATGAAAGAGCTAGGCTAAGATCTTGGAAGAACAGTTCTAGGCAAAGCGACCTATGAGAAGGTGCAAAGCCCCTACAGTTGGGAGGAAACTTGCTTGTTTGATGATCATTAAGGTGGCCCACTGTGGTGAAACAGTGAGCAAGCAGGAAACTACTGAACATGAATTCAAAGAAGCTGCAGATAAGATTTTTAATATGTTGGGGAGCTGCTGAAGAATTCTGAACAGATGTGATACTATTTGATTTACTTCTTACAAAAATAATCCTTTTTAAAGCATCACTCTGGCTTCTGTGTGGGGAACAGACCGAGGTGGTTAAGAATGAAAGTAAGGAAATCACTGCAGTAATCACTATTACTACAATAACTGCTATTACTACACACTTACACTTAATACCATTGTAAGGAGGATATCCTGAGAGTCCAGGCAAAAGACAGTGGTGGCTTTAACTAGATTGATAGAGTCAAAAGTGCAAAGTAGTCTGTAGTAGGATAACTTTTAATGATTTATTATCACAGAAGCAGTACATGTGCATTGGGAAACAATGTGCATTAGGAAAGAATGTACATATCCAAGCAAAAAATAAAAACCTCACAATCACAATCATTACTGTGATTACTTTATATAGAGTATATACTTTCAGATACTTTTCTAGGCACACATGTGTGTGCACACATACACACACACGTATACATACATATATATACTGTTTACCAGACTATTATTCATATTGTTTTGTAACCTTTTCCAGTCAACAATCTCAAACTTTCCGTTACATTATCTCCTCTAGCCACCTCATCACAGTTGGCAACTGACCTTAAACCCAGTTGTAAACCCAGTTTACAACTAGGTTATCCAAACCAGTATATCCAATTGAAGATCACAGGTTAAAAATAGTTATGTTTCTTTACTCTTTTTAAATTCTACTGAATTTAGTCCCTTTTTTAATGACTTGACTTGCTAAGAGACTTGACCAATTGTCCTGCAGAATATCCTACTTTTTCAGTCTTTCTTTCACTTGTCTTTTTGTGGTTTCATTTATCTTGTTCTCCAAGTCCCTGCATTACCTTTAAACTGGAATTGGTATCAGACATAAATTAACAGATGGATGTTCCCCAAAGTGTCTGGCCTAGACTTTTCCAAAAACCTTTGTCATGGACAACAAACAAACAGGCTTAAGGAGTTGTCTTGGATTAAAGGAAACTAAAGAGATATGCAAACTAAATACAGTGCATGATCTTTAGATGGATCCAGAATGAGAACTGTAGAAAACATGGGTAATACAAATATGAACTGTACAGTGAGAAACATGTGAGATTTGCAGGCCCACACACAGTTTTTTAATAGTAATGAGTACTGTGGTACTACACGATCTATGCCTGGTTGAATCCTGATGGAAGTGTGGATATGAAGGGCCAACTTTAAGTAATACATGGATTTTTGACTTTGTGGAGGTTCAGTGTCCCTGTATATCAACCCCCATGTTGTTCAGTGTTCAACTGTGTATCTGATTAGCTCTCCTTGAACTTTAATGTGCATCTGAAACACCTGGAGATCTTATTAAAATGCAGATTCTGATACAGTAAATATGGAATAGACATAAGAGTGAATTTCTAACAAACTCCCAAGTGATGCTGATGCTGCTGGTTCTCAGACCTCACTTTTGAGTAGCAAGGTTATAAAAGATTTTTTTTTAAAGTACTTAAAATCAGGCATCTGCCTTTGATATCTAGGTCTTCTCTGATCACTGGTTTACTTAACCCCTCTCCTGTAAACTAGGTGTTTTCTCTAGATGACACACCTCGTTTATAAAGTTACTGTGAGAATTGCATAAAACTTCATGCAGGCACTTTATAAATCATTATTACAGAAGCATTAGTTATCATTATTATTAAAAGATTGCTACTTTCCTTAGTTCTATCCATTTTTACACAGCATCTTTTCCAAGACTGTATCCTTATTAGCTTTCGCTTAATGTTAACCAGGGACTGAATTGTTTTATCCCTTATCTAAGTCACTTTAGTTGTAGAAAGTAGCCATGTGCTGTCTTCCTACCCAGCACTCAGGATGTTCATGAGACACTTCGGGATAAATGGTTTTTTGTTTTCTTGCAGTGCTCGATGCAGCGCATCATCGACATTGGCCTGGAGTATTGAAGGTGGTATCAGGGTGCCACATATCCTTATTTCAGATTCCGTTACCTGAAGATGGAATGCAGTTTGGAGGATCAATGAGCTTACATGGAAATCACATGACACTAGCTTGTTTTCATGGCCCAAATTTCCGTTCAAAATCCTGGGCCCTTTTTCATTTAGAGGAACCAAATATTGCTTTTTGGACTGAAGCTCAGAAAATATGGGAAGATGGTAAACTGCCATTTTCAGCTTTCACTTTTACCCATCTCCTTATATGATTATATATGACAAAGTAATTTTCTTTTCCCATATCATTTGTTTATATTTCTTATGATACTTCTGAAATCCATCTCTATTATTATGTACCTGACATGTTAAGGAGTTTACTGTCAGTGAGTCAGTATCTATGAAGTCTGGCACATGTTAAAGGGCTTATTTCTGAATTTACCATCTTATTCTGTTTTTCACTTAGGCAATTAAATTTCTGCTGCCATGGCTGGTCATAGTTAGTCACAGTTATTGTAAACACCTCTTAGAGAAACATGAAGAGAGGACAGCACACAGTGGCAGTGTAAGGAAACTACTGCCAGTCAGGACTTTTTACGAAGCTTCTATGGACAAGGCTGTACTTCTGCCTCTATCTACAGTTTCCTTTAGCTTTAATTTTCTACTCTCAATTTCTTAATGATGAAGGAAATAAACGGTTAATGTTCTTCATCTTCTTGGGGATAAATCCAGTTATAACTAAAAGAAAAAGTTTGATTTTTTTTCTCACTTAATGTACTATTTTTACAACCCTTCTCTATGTATGACTTACCTAGCTGAATCTATTGCTCTAGGGCCACAACTCTCTTCCATCTAAAATATAGTTTGTTACATTAAGAAACTTGTTCCCCCCTCTAGGCTCTAGTGATCACTCTACATATATTGTACAAACACTGGATTTTCATCTGGGCCATAATACCATGGTTACCAAACCATGTGGTGCATTGGAAAGTCCTATGGCAACAATAACCAAGATAACCAGGCGTCGCCATGAAAATCCACCCCATGGAGTAGCAAGTGTGAAAGAATGGTTCAATTATGTTACGGCCACAAGGAATGAAGGTTAAAAGTTTGATTCTTTGGAAAGATCTGTTTTGCATTCTCTATTTTTGGTTCTGTTGACTGTGTTTAGAATTTAAGTGGAGGGAGCATTAATTAAAGTGGAGGGAGCATTTCCATTTCTTTCAACAAGCTTCATTTTATTCCAGCACTATAAGTAGCAATATTACTACATGATTCAACACCCTAGCAGTGCAACAAACATCTCATGGACTAAAATTATTTTCAATGTAATGAAAACATTCAAAATAAAATTGGTTTACATAAGTGAAATTAAGTTTATTATAATTTGAAAAGATATTTTTATACTAATGTTCACAATTGGAGGTTTGGGAAAGTTATTACACAACTAAATAACAATAACACAAAGTTCAGATGGCTGGAATAAAATGAAACTAAATATTAGTATTCTAGTGAAGTCGTAAGTTTAATAAAGAGTGCTTTTGATGAATTTTTCATTTGATTAGATTCACTGGTCTTGCAGTCACGCAGTCATGAAAATTCTTATTCTGCAGTTGTTTTTCTGTTACAGTTTAGAGTACTGCTTTTTATCAATCATTTCATCTGTATTGAAAAGCTGACTAAACTGAGACATGTTAAGACTTTAATGTTTTGCTTAAAAATGACTTCTTTTCAGAGTGGAAAAGATGGCTTGGGCCTTGTGGAAAATAGTTGCTATGCCCTAGCAAACCTAGGGATCAAAGACTATTAAAAATGTTCTGAGAACAAAAGAGGATAAGGAAGTAAATTAGAAAATTCTGCATGTATTGATTATTCTACCTTCTAAATAAGACACTTTGGGGGAAGGAATTCTTTTGGACTGGGATACTGTGGAGGGCTGTTAGCATACTGAACTGCTACCTGTGTAACTAGAAAATGCTAATTTTTATAAGACAACTCTGATGTTACCACAGCACATATGTTGGGGAAACTCAGGACTTATACCTACTCCCAAGATCAGGGTTGTATTTAATCATACCTTATAAGAGAGAATTATTTAATCTATGAAAAACTTTGAGGTTAATAAAGCTCTTAAATTCAGATATGATTTCAACTGAGAATAATATTCAAAGTTTAAGAAACAAAAAATGTATTGGATTTATCCAAAACCATGTTATAAAATCTTCAGTATTGAGAATAGTGACAGGTGGATTCTTTACAGTCTGAGCCACCAATTAGTCCATTTGTGTATGGATGTATATATAAATACATGTGTCCATATTAATATCTGGGGGCTTCCCACGTGGCACTAGTGGTAAGAATCTGCCTGCCAGTGCAGGGGATGCCAGAGACTCAAGTGCAATCCCTGGGTCAGGAAAATCCCCTGGAGTAGGAAATGGCACCCCATTCCAGTATTCTTGCCTGGAAGATTTCATGGACAGAGAAGCCTGGTGGGCTACAGTCCATGGGGTAGCAAAAAGTCAGACACATGTGACCGACCAAGCACATGACATGTGACTGAGCACAGCACACGTATTTATATATCTATATAGTATATAACCAGTCTCAAAGCCAAAGCTTTAATATGCCTCTTCTTAAAAAAGTCTTCATTTTCCATCTTTTGAAATGATAAAAGTTCTGTATATCAGTGTCATGACCGCTATATGCTTATCAATGCCTATTAATTTGATTCTTACTGTCTTTATTATGCTTGTAGAGCTAAACCTGCTTCGTAATGTTGATGCTAATAACACTGAGAATAGCACAACAGTGAAGAATTCTAGTTTGCTCAGTGGATTTAGAGGAGGTTCTAGCTACAATCATGAAACAGAGACAATCTTTGCACTACCAAGAATGCAGCTTGACTTTAAATCCATTCATGTTCAAGAACCACAAGAACCTTCATTACAGGGTATGTGGAAAACAACCTTTAGTTTCTAAAGTTAACTAAGAAAATTCTACAGGATCTTCAAGCTTCCCTTTTTCCCCAAAGATTATTTTTGTTTTATAATGAAACTGGTTTTCTGGTTTAAACTGATTTATATTCATACCAGCTATATGACATCTGGCAAAAAATGTACTCCCATTTGTGCCTCTTCCTCAAATGGAGCTAACAGGACTTCATTAGGTTTTTATGAGGACTAAATAACATATACTTCTATAATGCTCGTAAATTATCATCATCATCCTATAAATCACATACAGAAACTACTGGTTTCTCTATAGTTGCATTTAAGTGGATGCCTTTACATGGACCCATGTAAATCCTTTGTTAATGGGAAAAGGAACTTATTTCAACAATCTTTTAATATAAAAGAACTCTGCCATTGCAGATGCCAGCCTGAAGCCAAAGGTAGAATGCAGTGTGGTGACAGAGTTCACTGACCACATCTGTGTGACGATGGATGCTGAGCTCATCATGTTTCTTCATGATTTAGTGTCAGCTTATCTTAAAGAAAAAGAAAAAGGTGGGTAACATAGTTGGTTTTTTTCACTACCATTTACATGAATTTGACCCAGCCTTGCTCATGAATGTCCATGAGTCTGGCGGAGGCGTGGGTCAGCAGTGGCCTGCTGCAGGGTTGGACGCACTGAGTATAGCAACACATGCATGGGACTTCTTGAAGGAGGTCGACGTTATCTTCATTGGCCCATCAAAACCAGACCCAGTTTCCCCCTCAGTCAGTCTCTCCCATCAGGAAGCTTGCAAAAGCTTCTTATCATTTTCCATCAGAGGGCAGATAGACTGAAGGCCACAATCACAGAAAACTAACCAATATGATCACATAAACCACAGCCTTATCTTAACTCAGCAAAACTATGAGCCATGCCATGTAGAGCCACACAAGACAGACAGGTCATGGTGGAGAGTTCTGACAAAACGTGGTCCACTGGAGAAGGGAATGGCAAACTACTTCAGTATTCTTGCCTTGAGAACCCCATGGACAGTATGAAAAGGCAAAAAGATACAACATTGAAAGATGAACTCCCCAGGTTGGTAGGTGCCCAATATGCTACTGGAGATCACTGGAGAAATAACTCCAGAAAGAATGAAGACACAGAACCAAAGCAAAAACAACATCTAGTTGTGGATGTGACTGGTGATAGAAGTCAAGTCTGATGCTGTACAATGCAAAATTGCATAGAAACCTGGAATATTGAAAGAAAAGGGAAAGTAAAGTTGCTCAGCTGTGTCTGACTCTTTGCGACCCCATGGACTGTAGCCAACCAGGCTTCTCAGTCCATGGGATTTTCCAAGCAAGAGTACTGGAGTGGATTGCCATTTAGGTCCATGAATCAAGGCAAATTGGAAGTGGTCAAACAGGAGATGGCAAGAGTGAACATTGACATTTTAGGAATCAGCAAACTAAAATGAACTGGAATGGGTGAATTTAACTCATGTCCATTATATCTACTCCTGTGGGCAAGAATCCCTTAGAAGAAATGGAGTATCCATCATAGTCAACAAAAGAGTCCAAAATGCAGTACTTGGATGCAACCTCAAAAATGACAGAATGATCTCTGTTCATTTCCAAGGCAAACCATCACAGTAATCCAATCTGTGCCCCGACCAGAAATGCTGAAGAAGCTAAAGTTGAATGGTTCTATGAAGACCTACAAGACCTAGAACTAACACCTAAAAAAGGTGTCCTTTTATTATAGGGGACCGGAATGCAAAATTAGGAAGTCAAGAAATACCCGGAAACAGGCAAATTTGGCCTTGGAGTACAGAATGAAGCAGGGCAAAGGCTAATAGAGTTTTGCCAAGAGAACACACTGGTCATAGCAAACACCCTCTTCCAACAACACAAGAGAAGACTCTACACATG